GGGATGGACAGATGGAAGGGTGGGCCGATATGGATGGGGGTGGATGGGTGTTTTGGGGGATGCACGGGTAGATGTGTATGTGTAACTCTTCTGCCAGGTGGCTCCAGCAGCAACAATGGGTGGGTTGGGGGTGGTGATGCATGCTTGGACAGGTGGATGGATGGGTGCGTACAGGGATGGATGGAGGAGTGGTTGGGGATGGGTGGGTGTCAATGGGGATCTATCCATTGACGTTGGTGACTTTAGTTCACGCCCTTCTCTTTCCCTCTCATTTGTTCTTTGATCCATCCTCTCTCAGCCCAACTCTCCCTGAGGTTTGTGCCGGTTGATCTGGGCCGACCCCTCCAGGGGGGTGTGATGGCCATGGGGAACCTGGGAATGTGGGATCCTCTTTGCAGACATGGCCGGTCTATTTGTGTGTCCCCAGCTCTCCTTCCCACGGCAGGATGCAGCTCTGTCCTGGGGCTGGTCTCTGGGGCTCCCTGCGCCCTCGTCCCACTAATCTTCTCTGCTGATCCCCTCTGGGCAGGAACTGCCCGGCCCCCCAAGGACCTGGTCAGCCACCCTAATCCAGCCATGCCCTAACCCGCCTCTTTGTTCCAGCCAAGGAGCCACGGGTGCAGGAACTCACCTTCCAGCCCAGCCTGGGGGAGCTCTCGGCCTCTGATGTCACCCACAACTCCACTCTGCTCTCCTGGACCGTCCAGACCGGGGACTTTGACTCCTTCCTCCTCCAGTACAAGGACGTGGAGGGCAAACTCCAGGCGCTGCCCATGGACGGGGGATCCCGCACGGTCACTGTAACCAACCTGGCTCCCTCCCACAGATACAAGTTCAACCTCTACGGCATCTCCGGCCGCAAGCGCCTCGGCCCCGTCTCCACCGACATCGTCACAGGTCAGCGGCTGCTCCAGGGGTGCAGCTCCTTCCCCTCCCGCCCCCTTTGCTTTCCAGTGTGACATGGATGCCGAACACTGGCCCAGGACGTTCTGAAGAAGATGCTTCCAAGAGTCCTGCATCCACAACCAGATTGCCGGCCATTCAATGGATAGAGATGGGAGTAGATAGGGATGGGTGGATGGATGGATGGATGGATGGATGAATGAATGGATAGACAGTCAGACAGCTGGATTGGTGTGCGTGGGGCAGGTTGAGTGAATGGAATGATGTGTATGGGAACAGATGGATGAAGAGATAGGTACATGGATGGGTGTCTAAAGGAGTGGATGGAGGGGATGGTCATCGATGAGTAGATAGACGAATGGATGTGTATGGGGATGGATGGATGAACAGGCGGGTGGGCAGATATATATGGAGATAGATGAATGGATAGACAGAAGGCTTGGTAGATATGTGTGGGGGTGGATGGATGGATGGAGGGGATGAGATGGGTGGATAGATGGAGGGGATCTATATGGGGATGGACAGATGGACGGGTGGGTAGGGATGGATGGATGGAAGGATGGATGGATAGATAGAGGAATGGATTGATATGGGGATGGACAGATGGACGGGTGGATAGATGGATGGAGATGATGGGACTGATGGAAAGATAGAGGAATAGATCTATATGGGGATGTACAGCTGGACGGGTGGGTGGGGATGGATGAATGGAGGGGATGGGTTGGATAGATAGAGGAATGGGTCGATATGGGGATGGACAGATGGATGGGTGGGGGGGGATGGATGAATGGAGGCGATGGGATGGATGGATAGATAGAGGAATGGGTCGATATGGGGATGGACAGATGGATGGGTGGGTGGGGATGGATGGATGGAGGGGGTGGGATGGATGGATAGATAGAGGAATGGGTCGATATGGGGATGGACAGATGGACGGGTGGGTGGGGATGGATGGATGGATGGAGGGGATGGATGGATGGATAGATAGAGGAATGGATTGATATGGGGATGGACAGATGGATGGGTGGGTGAGGATGGATGGATGGAGGGGATGGATGGATGGATGGATAGAGGAATGGATTGATACGGGGATGGACAGATGGATGGGTGAGTGGGGATGGATGGTTGGAGGGGATGGGATGGATGGATAGATATAGGAATGGATCGATATGGGGATAGACAGATGGGTGGGTGGGTTGATGTGTGGAGGGGATGGGATGGATGGAGGGGATGGGATGGATGGATGGATGGATGGGATGGATGGATAGATAGAGGAATGGATATATATGGGGATGGATGGATGGATAGGTGAGTGGGTGGATGTAGAGGGATGGATGGACAGACAGACTGGTGGGGGTGTGTGTATGGCAAGTGATGGATGGACGGATGGACGGAAGGCTGGGTGGATGTGTATGGGGATGAATGAATGGACGTACAGACGGTAGAGTGGTTGGATGGGTGTTTTGGGGGATTCATGGGTACATGTATATTTGTAACTCTGTGCCCAGGTTGCATTATCAGCTATAAGGAGGGGGTGGGTAAGGTGATTGATGCATGGATGGACAAACGTATGGTATAGTGATGAACCAACGGATGGATGGGTGTGTATGAGGATGGAGGAGTGTCTGGGGATAGATAGGTGTCATCCGTTGACATTGGTGGTTTTGGTTCACCCCCTTTTCTTTCTGTCTCGTTTCTTCCTCCTTCCCTCTGTCTCCTCCTATCTCACTCAGCCCTCACTGAGGTTTGTGCCGGTCGCTCTCGGCTGAACCCTCCATGGAGGTGTGATGGCCACGGGGAACCTGGGAATGTGGGATCCTTTTTGCAGACATGCCCCGTCCATTAGTCTGTCCCCAGCTCTCCTTCCCAGCAGCAGGATCCGGCTGTGTCCTGGGACAAGTCCCTGGGCGTCCCTGCACCCTCCCCTGCTAATCCTCCCTGCAAATCTCCTCTGGCTAGAAATAACCCAGCCCCCCCCAAGATCCCAGCGAGTTGCCCCCACTCCAGCCTCCCCCTTCACCCCCTTCTCTCTGTTCCAGCTGTGGTGGGGCCGGAGGAGGAACCCACTCCCCAGCCCAGTCTGGGGGAGCTCTCGGCCTCTAACGTCACCCACGACTCCATCCTGCTCTCCTGGACCGTCCAGGCCGGGGACTTCGACTCCTTCCTCCTGCAGTACAAGGACGCGGAGGGCAAACCCCAGGCGCAGCCTGTGGATGGCAGATCCCGCACGGTCACCGTAACCAACCTGGCGCCCTCCCACAGATACAACTTCAAATTCTACGGTGTCTCCGGCCGCAAGCGCCTTGGACCTATCTCCACTGATGCTGTCACGGGTCAGCGGCAGCTCCCAGGGCCCGACCCCTTCCCCTCCCACCCCCCTTTGCTCTACAGTGTCAGGGACACCATCCACTGGGCCAGGACCTTCCCAGGAAAACACTTCCAAGCCTCCACAAGCAGATTGGCAGCCATTCAATGGGTAGAGGGAAGAATGTGGATGGGGATGGATGGATAGACAGACAGCTGTATGGATGTGCATGGGGCATGTTGAGTGAATGGATAGAGGTGTCTAGGGATGGATGGATGAATTAATAGGATGTCTATGGGGGTGGATAGAGATGGATGGAGGGAGGGGATGGTAATGGATCCATAGAAAGAGGAATAGATATATATGGGGATGGTCAGATGATGGGGGGGCAGATGGACTGGGGAGCAGGTGTGTATAGCGATTGATGGATGGACAAATGGCTGGGGGGATGTGTATGGGGATGGACAGACTGGTGGAGAGATGTTTATGGGGATGGATGGATGGACGTATAGACGGTAGGGTGGGTGGGTGTGTATGGGGATGGATGGATGGACATACAGACGGTAGGGTGGGTGGGTGGGGATGGACAGAAGGGCAGACTGTTGGAGGGATGTTTATGGGAATGGATGGATGGACATACAGGCGGTAGGGTGGGTGGATGTGTATGGGGATGGATGGATGGACGTACAGTAGATAAGGTGGGTGGATGGGGATGGACAGAAGGGCAGACTGTTGGAGGGATGTTTATGGGGATGGATGGATGGACGTACAGGCGGTAGGGTGGGTAGATGTGGATGGGGATGGATGGATGGATGGACGTACAGTCGGTAAGGTGGGTGGATGGGGATGGACAGAAGGGCAGACTGTTGGAGGGATGTTTATGGGGGTGGATGGATGTATAGACGGTAGGGTGGGTGGGTGTGTATGGAGATGGACAGAAGGGCAGATTGGTGGATGGATGTTTATGGGAATGGATGTTTGGACATACAGGCGGTAGAGTGGGTGGATGTGTATGGGGATGGATGGATGGATGGACGTACAGTCGGTAAGGTGGGTGGATGGGGATGGACAGAAGGGCAGACTGTTGGAGGGATGTTTATGGGGATGAATGGATGGACGTACAGGCGGTAAGGTGGATGGATGTGTATGGGGATGGATGGATGGACATACAGTCGGTAAGGTGGGTGGATGGAGATGGACAGAAGGGCAGACTGTTGGAGGGATGTTTATGGGGATGGATGGACGTATAGACGGTAGGGTGGGTGGGTGCGTATGGGGATGGATGGATGGACGTACAGACAGTAAGGTGGATGGATGTGTATGGAGATGGACAGAAGGGCAGACTGGTGGATGGATGTTTATGGGAATGGATGTATGGACATACAGGTGGTAGGGTGGGTGGATGTGTATGGGGATGGATGGATGGACGTACAGTAGATAAGGTGGGTGGATGGAGATGGACAGAAGGGCAGACTGGTGGATGGATGGATGTACAGACAGTAGGGTGGGTGGATATGTGTGGGAATGGATGGGTGTTATGGGGGGATTGATTTATAGATGTGTATGTGTAACTCTGTGGCTAGGTCACATTGTCAACAAGAAAGGCTGGGTGGGTGATAGATGCATGGATGGACGGAAGTATGGGATCGCGATGGATGGATGGAGGAGTGTCTGGGGGTGGACGGTGGTCAATGGGGATCTTTTCATTGAGGGTGGTGGTTTCGGTTTCACCCCCTTCTCTTTTTCTCTCATTTGCTCTTCCTTCCCCCCTCTCCTCCCGTCTCAGCTCAGCTCTGCCCATGGTTTGTGCCGGTCACTCTGGGCCGACCCCTCCGTGGAGGCAGGGTGGCTGCGGGAAACCCAGGAATGTGGGATCCTCTTTGCAGACATGCCCCGTCCGTCTGTCTGTCCCCAGCTCTCCTTCCCGGCTGCAGGATCCGGCTGTGTCCTGGGGCCAGTCCCTGGGGCTCCCTGCCCCCTCTCCCGCTAATTCATTGGGATGGCAATAATCCGGCCCCCCAAGGACCCGGAAAGCTGCTCCTGCTGACCATCCCCTTCACCCCCCTCTCTCTGTTCCAGCTGCGGCGCCGACGGAGGAGGTACCCACCGCCCAGCCCAGCCTGGGGGAGCTCTTGGCCTCCGACATCACCCACGACTCCATCCTGCTCTCCTGGACCATGGAGGAGGGGACCTTCGACTCCTTCCTCCTCCAGTACAAGGACGCGAAGGGCAAACCCCAGGCGCTGCCCGTGGACGGGGGATCCCGCACAGTCACCATAACCAACCTGGCACCTTCCCGCAGATACAAGTTCAACCTCTATGGCATCTCCGGCCGCAAGCGCCTCGGCCCCGTCTCCACTGACGCCGTCACAGGTCAGCGGCTGCGTCTACGGGTGCAGCTCCTTCCCATCCCAGCCCCTTTGCTTTGCAGTGTGGCAGGGATGCTGGCCACTAGACTGGGACCTTCCTGGGATGAAGCTTCAAGTCTCCAGCTTCCATGACCTGTCTATGGCCATTCAACAGATGGAGAGAGAGAGAAGGTTGAGTGTTTACATGGCTGGACAGGGGTGTTGGTGGGTGAATGGATAGAGGGTGTGTTGGAACGGATGGAAGGATAGCTGTGTGTGGGGATGGATGGATGGATGGATAGAGGGTGTGTGTAGATGGATAGATGGGTGTGTGTTGAGATGGATGGAGGGATAGCTGTGTGGGGATGGATGAGTGGATGGGTGGATGGATGGCTGAGTGTTGAGACGGATGGAGGGATAGCTGTGTGTGGGGATGGATGGATGGATGGATACAGGGAGTGGATGGATGGATGGATGTGTGTTGAGACGGATGGAAGGATAGCTGTGTATAGGGATGGATGGATGGATGGATGGATGGATGGATGGATGGATGGATAGAGGGTGTGTGTGGATGGATGGGTGGATGGATGGTTGTGCGTTGAGACGGATGGAGGGATAGCTGTGTATGGGGATGGATAGAGGGTGTGTGTGGATGGATGCATGGATGTGTGTTGAGACGGATGGAAGGATAGCTGTGTATGGGGATGGATGGATGGATGTTGTGTGTGGGTGGATGGATGGCCATGTGTTGAGACGGATGGAAGGATAGCTGTGTATGGGGATGGATGGATGGATGTATAGAGGGTATGTGTGGATGGATGGATGGATGGATGGATGGATTGCTGAGTGTTGAGACGGATGGAGGGATAGCTGTGTATGGGAATGGATGGATGGATAGAGGATGTGTGTGGATGGATGGATGGGTGGGTGGATGGATGGATGGATGGATGGCTGAGTGTTGAGATGGATAGAGGGATAGCTGTGTATGGGGATAGATGGATGGATGGATGTATAGAGGGTGTGTGTGGATGGATGGATGGATTGCTGAGTGTTGAGACGGATGGAGGGATAGCTGTGTATGGGAATGGATGGATGGATAGAGGGTGTGTGTGGATGGATGGGTGGATGGATGGGTGGATGGATGGCTTTGTGTTGAGATGTATGGAGGGATAGCTGTGTATGGGAATGGATGGATGGATAGAGGGTGTGTATGGATGGATGGATGGATGGATAGGTGAGTGTTGAGATGGATGGAGGGATAGCTGTGTATGGATGGATGGATGGATGGATGGATAGAGGGTGTGTGTGGATGGATGGGTGGATGGATGGATGGGTGGATGGATGGCTGTGTGTTGAGATGGATGGAAGGATAGCTGTGTTTGGGGATGGATGGATGGATGGCTGGATGGATGGATAGGTGAGTGTTGAGATGTATGGAGGGATAGCTGTGTTTGGGGATGGTAGGTGGGTGGATGCATGTGCATGTGGCTCAGAGGAGGGATGGAACGATGCGTGGGATGGATGGCACCGATGGTGAGACGTGTCGGATACATGGAAAGGAACAGGTGTCTGTGTGGACGCACAGATCGATGGATGCTCAACCCCTTCCGCACACCCCCACCCCGCCTTTTCCCACCCCCGCTCCGCCCCGTCCCACCTCTTCCCGCCAGGCCCACCCCCCTCTCCTGAGCTCCTCCCCCTCCCCCCACCGCCTCCTGTACGCCACAGAACAGCTGATCACGGCGGGTGGGAGGTGCTGGGGGGGATGGGGAGGAGCTTACTGCCGGTGGGTGCTGAGCACCCACTAATTTTTTCCATGGGTGCTCCAGGCCCCTGTGGGGCTGGTTGGGTGTCACTGGGGATCTTTCCATTGACGTTGGAGGCTTTGGTTCAGCCCCTTCTCTTTCTCTCTCCTTTGTTCTTCCTTCCCCCTCTCTCTCTGCCCCCCCCCCAGCTCAGCTCTCACAATGATTAGTGCTGGGGCGACCCCTCTGTGATGAAGGTGCCCTGGGAGCCAGCTGAGGTCACTCAATCAGGGTGAACTGCAAACAGACCGGGACAGACAAACCCCAAACGCTGGTGGATCCTCCAGTGCTGAGATTTACCAACCAGCCCAAACCAGCCTCTGTGTTACCTCCCTGGTTACTCAGACGTCCAAACAACGCAGTTCCCTTAAAGTGCCCGGCCTCAGGCCTCCGTCCAGACACACACGTCAGATAAGATGATAATTACTGAAAATCTGTTCTCATCATATAAAAGAAAAGGTTCTTCCAACCCCAAAGGATCGGTCCTAGACCCAGGTCAAATGATAACTTAAATCTTACCCAAAATACACACTACAGCCAATTCTTATTAACTAAACTAAAATTTATTAAAAAAGAAAAGCGAGAGAGCATTGGTTAAAAGATCAATATACAGACAGACTTGAATTCAATTCTTGAGGTTCAGACACAGCAGAGATGAGCTTGTAGTTGCCAAAAGTCCTTTTAGAAATAGTCCGGAGGTTATAGTCCAATGTCCATGTTCAGGGTGACTCCAGTCAGTGACTGGGGATCTCAATCCTTGTGGCTTAAGGTTTCCCCCTCTTGAAACCCAAAGCAGATCTGAGATGAAGCAGGATTGTGTCCCAGGGTTTTTATACATTTCCAGCAGCCTTTCGGCCTGAGAAAACAACAAACATCCTGGCAATTAGCCCAGGATAATTTATCCATTAAACAGTTCAGATCCAGGTTACCACGACCTTCCAAAGAGATGATAATAATAATAATTAATATAGAGAATAATACTATTTCACACAAGTGTCTTCCTAAATGTTAATATTCCTTTTTTTGATCTTTGAATCATAGCAATAGACAAGACTTGTTTGCTGACATCACAAGCCCTGAGCAAACATCTCCCCTTCTCTCTCTAACAATGCCGGCTGCATTTCAAAGCTCTATTCATTTACAGATCTTCCTAACCAGTCTTTAAAGTTCGGCCCTGGGTCAGGTCCGTCTGGGAGTTAATTAACTCTTGCTGGCCCTGTCACCTTTCAATGAGATATTATATTGCACTCATAACGTCACACCCTCCATGGGGCGGGATGACCGCGGGGAACCGGGAATGTGGGATCCTCTTTGCAGACATGCACCATCCGTCTGTCTGTCCCCAGCTCTCCTTCCCAGCAGCAGGATCCGGCTGTGTCCTGGGGCCGGTCCCTGGGGCTCCCTGCCCCCTCCCCCTGCTGATCCTCTCTGCAGATCCCCTCTGGTTAGGAATAATCAAGCCCCCCAAGAACCGGGAAAGCTGCCCCCAACCCTGGATATGGCCTTCACCCCCCTCTCTCTGTTCCCACCACAGCGCGGCAGAAGGAGGAACCTGCCCCCCAGCCCAGCCTGGGGGAGCTCTCGGCCTCTGACGTCACCCACAACTCCACCCTGCTCTCCTGGACCGTCCAGGCCGGGGACTTTGACTCCTTCCTCCTCCAGTTCAAGGACGCGGAGGGCAAACCCCAGGCGCTGCCCGTGGACGGGGGATCCCGCACAGTCACCGTAACCAACCTGGCCCCGTCCCGCAGATACAAGTTCAACCTCTACGGCATCTCCGGCCGCAAGCGCCTCGGCCCCGTCTCCACCGACACCGTCACAGGTCAGCAGCTGCTCCAAGAGTCCTGGCCCCTACCCCTCCCACCCACTTTGCTTTGCAGTGTCAGAGACACCGACCCCTGGGCTGGGACCTTCCGAGGGAGATGAGTCCAATCCTCCAGCCTTCACAAGCAGATGGCCAGCAAGAGAGAGTGGCTGGCTGGCTGGCTCGGTGGGGGTGTGGATGTACATGGGGCAGGTTGAGTGAATCGATACTTGTGTATAGGGAGGGATGACTGAATGAATAGGTAGATGGATGACTGTCTATAGGGGTAGATGAAGATGTACGAATAAGTAGAGGAATGGATATTTATGGGGATGGATGGATGGACGGACAGAAGGACAGGTGGGAAGACAGATGTGAATTAGAATGGATGGGTGGGCAGGTGTATGTGTATGAGAATGGACAGCAGGAAGGGTTGGCAGAGGTGTACCGTGACGGAGGGAGGGATGGGGGGAAGGATGAGCGGAGGTGTATCGGGATGGAGGGAGGGACGGGGGAGGGTGGGCGGAGGTGTATCAGGACGGATGGAGGGACGGGGGAAGGGTGAGCGGAGGTGTATCGGGACGGGCGGGGGGATGGGGGAAGAGTGGGCGGAGGTGTATCGGGACGGATGGAGGGATGGGGGAAGGGTGAGCGGAGGTGTATTGGGATGGATGGAGGGACGGGGGAAGGGTGGGCGGAGGTGTTTCGGGATGGAGGGAGGGACAGGGGAAGGGTGGGCGGAGGTGTATCGAGACGGATGGAGGGACGGGGAAGGGTGGGCGGAGGTGTATCGGGACGGGGGAAGGGTGGGCGGAGCATGTACCCACACCTTCATCCATCCATCCATCCATCCATCCATCTGTCCCCAGCATCCATCCATCTACTGCATCCATCCATCTCCATCATGTACCCACACCTCCATCCATCCGTCCCCAGCATCCATCCATCCATCCATCCACCCACAGCATCCATCCGTCTCCAACATGTACCCACACCTCCATCCGTCCCCAGCATCCATCCATCCATCCATCCACCCACAGCATCCATCCGTCTCCAACATGTACCCACACCTCCATCCGTCCCCAGCATCCATCCATCCACCCACAGCATCCATCCATCCACAGCATCCAGCCATCCATCCACTTCCAACATGTACCCACACCTCCATCCATCCCCAGCATCCATCCATCCATCCACCCACAACATCCATCCATCTCCAATATGTACCCAAACCTCCATCCGTCCCCAGCATCCATCCATCCATCCACTGCATCCATCCATCTCCATCATGTACCCACATCTCCATCCATCTATCCATCTCTCCCATTCAGGATACACCCAGGCCCCCTCTCCAGGTCCCATTTCTCCTTTTTGCTGTCTTGTGACCTCCCCACTTACCTTTTCACTCCCTGCAGGTCCCTGGGAAATGGGGCGAAGCCCCCGGCATGCCCTGCCCCTGCTCTCTCTGGTTCATTGTCCCTCACTGGACTCATGCCCCTCACCCCCAATCTCTCTTCCAGCAGTGGCACTGTCGGAGGAGGCAGTTGGGATGCCGCTCCGTCTAGGTGAGCTCTCGGCGGCCAACGCAGCCCACAACTCCATCGACCTCTCCTGGACCGTGGAGGGGGGGACATTCGACTCCTTCATCCTCCAGTACCGGGACGCAGAGGGCAACTCCCGGGCGCTGCCTGTGGATGGTGCCCTGCGCTCGCTCCACCTCCATGACCTGGCCCCCTCCCACAGATACAAGTTCAACCTCTACGGCGTCTCCGGCCGCAAGCGCCTCGGCCCCGTCTCCACCGACGCCACCACAGGTCAGCGGCTGCACCCACATGCCTGGGTCTCCTCGGCCGCTCTGGCTCCTCGACCTTCACGTCTCTTTCCGGTGCCGCGTGTGCCCTTGCTCATCGCTACAGCCCACAGCATGGGCGTGCGCTGTGTGTCTGTCTGTGCTGACCCACCCGGCCTCCAACCTGTCCCCAGGGTCCGGGGCTGCGTCCTCCTTCTCCTTCCATGTGCCGTCTCCTTCCACCTTCTCTCCCTTTCTGCCTTCAGCGTCTCTCGATCTCACGCAACTGGCTCTTTCTTCCCCCTTCTACCTTTTGTCCATCCAATGTCCGTCTTTTATCTCCTCCACTGTCCTGCTTCTACCTTCTGTCTGGTTTGTGCCTTTCTTTCTGCCTCCCCCTTCTTTCCCTCTCTGTCTATCATCTCTGAATCTAGGGATCCTCCCCTTCTCTCCCCTTTCCGTGCCCAAGCTACTCCTCATATCTCTTTCTCCTCCGCTTTCACTCTCTGTCCATCTGCTCCATCCAGTTCTCTCCTTTCCTTCCTCTACGCTGTTTATTCAATGGTCCTTACCCATCATTCTTCTGTTTCCTCCCTCTCATGCTTTCATTCTCCCCTTCCCTTCCTGATCTCTCTCTCTGTCTCCCCACTTCCCTCGGATTCTTTCCTCTACTTTCCTTCCTCTTTCTTCCTTTGCTGCTTCCCCCTTTTCTCTCTTTCGTTTCCTCATACGTTTCCCCTCCTTCCTCATTCATTTTTTCTTTTGGGTGCTTTTGAGTCTTTATTTTTTCTCCACTCTTCTGCTTTCTCTTCCCTACAATAGTTTCCTTTTATGCCAGACAGTGATCTGCACCCTTAACCCCCCGCTCTGTTCCAGCTGCGGCGCCGACGGAGGAGGTACCCACCGCCCAGCCCAGCCTGGGGGAGCTCTCGGCTTCCGACATCACCCACGACTCCATCCTGCTCTCCTGGACTGTCCAGGCCGGGAACTTCGACTCCTTCCTCCTGCAGTACAAGGACGCGGAGGGCAAACCCCAGGAGCTGCCCGTGGATGGGGGATCCCGCACGGTCACAGTCACCAACCTGGCCCCGTCCCGCAGATACAAGTTCAACCTCTACGGCGTCTCTGGCCGCAAGCGCCTCGGCCCCGTCTCCACCGACGCCGTCACAGGTCAGCAGTTGCGCCTGGAGCGCCGGCTCCTTCCCTTTGTACCCTGCTTGGCTTTGCAGTGTGGTGGGGACGTTGGACAATGCTCCGGGACCATCCCAGCAAGACACTTCCAAGCCTCAGGTGTCTATGACCCTGGCTACTGATCATTCAACAGATGACAGTAGGGGTGTGAATGGATGGCTGGATAGAGCGGGTGTGTAGATGGATGGATAGAGGGGTGTGTGTGGATGGATGGAGGCCTGTATTGGGGAACGGAAGGAATGATGGATGGATGGGTAGAAGGATGGAAGAATGGGAATGGAGGGCAGTATCGGGGAATGGATGGAATGATAGATGGATGGGTAGAAGGATGGATGAATGGATGAATGGGGATGGAGGGCTGTATCTGGGAACTGATGGAATGATAGATGGACGGGTAGAAGGATGGATGAATGGGGATGAAGGGCTGTATCCGGGAATGGATGAAATGATAGATGGAAGGTTAGAAGGATGAATGAATGGATGAATGGGGATGAAGGGCTGTATCCGGGAACTGATGGAATGATAAATGGACGGGTAGAAGGATGGATGAATGGGGATGGAGGGCTGTATCGGAGAATGGATGGAATGATAGATGGATGAGTAGAAGGATGGATGTGGTTGAAAAGATGGAAGGATGGGTGTGTGGGATGAATGACTGGTGGAAGGATGTGTGGGAAGGGATGGGTAGACACTGGGTATTAATGGAGGTGGATGGATATGAATGAAAATGGATGTTGGGGATGGACGCGTGTGTATAAGGCTGGTTGGGTGTCAATGGGGATCTTTCCATTGATGTTGGAGGGTTTGATTCACCCCCTTCTCTTTTTTCTCGTTCTTCTCTTCCCCCCTCTCCTCCCGTCTCAGCGCAGCTGTGCCCGTGGTTTGTGCCGGTCACTCTGGGCCGACCCCTCCATGGAGGCAGGGTGGCTGCGGGGAACCCAGGAATGTGGGATCCTCTTTGCAGACATGCCCCGTCCGTCTGGCTGTCCCTACCTCTCCCTTCCAGGGTCAGGATTTGGTTGTGTCCTGGGGCCAGTCCCCAAGGCTCCCTGCACCCTCCCCCCACTTATCCTCTCTGCAGATCCCCTCTCGCTGGGAATAATCCGGCTTCCCAAGGATCCGGTGAGCCTCCCCCCCACCCTGGCCACACCGTTCACTCCCCTCTCTCTGTTCCCACCGCAGCACGGCGGAAGGCGGAACCCGCCCCCGAGTCCAGCC